AGAAAATACGAAATTGTGCATTAAAGTGGGAACGTTGTGGTTGGGTGGAGGAAGACGAGCAGGAGCAGGATCAGGGGGATGAGGAGGAGGAGGAGGAGGAAGAAGAGGAAGAGGGGGGAGGAATAGAATGATAAATAAAAAGATTCAAGACGAAAAATGTACGACGATATTTCACAACAAGCCTAAGGAATATAATACCATCGATCGTTCACGTGAATGAACACCCGTTGAGAGAGTTGGTTGCCCCATTGAAAGGGCAAACTGTTGTAACACTACGAGAAGTCGACAGAAGTCAATATTGAAAAATGAGCTATTGAAAAGATATCGAATACACTGTCTCTGTTAACTTATTTTAAATGCCCACTGTGTTTACTTTTTTGTTTTTTTTTTTTTGTACACGGGGATCCTCGATAATTAATTAACGAGATTTTAACGAAAAACCGGTCGTAAATTAAATTTTGAAATGTAATAAATTTGAAGATACTAAAAGATTATATGAGGAAAAAAAAAAGGACCAACGCATTGAAAAACGATCTTTGACTTCTACGCAATATATATAAAAAAAAATAAAAAGGGCAAAGAAAAAGGACAAAGGAACGAAGAGGATCAAATTCTAGTCTTCAAAAGGCTACCGCTTCTTTTTGACTTTTACCCCAACGAGAAAACCGCAAGGAAAAGAACGGCAATTCGTATTGTATTGAATGCGTCGGCGACGTTTTATCAGGCAGGTCGTACTGTGCTACAGCCCAAACAACATTTTTTAAGCCTAATTTATAATAGGTACAAAAGTAAATCAATAATTATTATCCGACGCTACTACACGATACTCTTTTGTCCAATTTTCTTTGTGGTTGGTTTTATTGCGAAATACTCATGGATTGTGTACCTTTTTTTTTATCTCGGATATTAATATTAATTAATAATTATATATATAGGATTAATAAATAATAGTACTATAGGAAACTACATATTACGGTTGTATAAATTTAAACACGTCAATTTCGTTAGATTTTGTTTTAAATATATTACGGTCAATGTACATAATCCTGGACACTTTGTAGAATGTCCAGAAGGTTTTACATCAATGGGGTGTGTTTAAACACAAGTGGGGGTGCAAGGGAAAATGATTTTAAACCCTTGCAAGTGAAACAAACGAAACAAATATTTAAATATTTATTCACGCAATGTCCTTAAATAATTTCGATCAATCTTTAAAACGTTGTTTCAGTAAACGTTTCTTCCCCTTCAGATTTTGTCAGGATTTTTGTTGGATTGAAACGAGTATTAATTTACTTACAATTGTGAAAATTTATAACAACAAATTTTATACGATAAGAATTCATTTAACAATTTTTACCATAAGAAAAAGTTTAAATTAAGCACGGTTTAACCAATCGAATAAATATCGAACAAAGTGAACTAGCTACTCGTCCTATTTTTCCCTCGATCTCCTTGACGTTTTAGAATATTGACCGTTCATTTTATTCGTTGTTAAATCAGGCGTAAATAACAATTCCATTTCAGGGATGATCCGAGATAAAGTATAGAACATGAATAAGAGGGAATATAAGAAAGAAAGAACTGTGGATGAACATCTGAATGTATACCGACAATATATCCAATTTTGATCCTAACATAAGTACTTTTTCTATACAATGTGAGCTGGTCGATGCTCGATTGAACGATAATAAAAAATACATTCGAACAATGAACGTTCACTTTATGGAACAAACATTGCGTCGGTGGTCAGAATAAAGTTCAATTTCTTCTTACTTTTCCCATACATATCTGTTTCTCTTCTATCCCCCAATGTTTATGTAAAAAAAAAAAAAGAAAATAATAAAGAAAAAGTAAAAAGATGAATAAAAAAGAAATAAAAAGAAAACTAGACGCACGAGCTATTAGTCGTTTGCGCACAAATAAACATCAATACACTGGCCAGTGCGAACTAGCAAACTGAAACTGTTGTTAAAAGGTTTCTGATGGGCTTAAAAAGGATTCAACGTTCGTTACGGTAAAAGGCTAAGTCCCAAACAGAAAGATCAGACCCTCTTTATCTTCTTGTTTAGATCTGCACGCGTAAAAATCAATAGTCTGTAAACAAACTTATTCGAAATACTCTAAGGAATTCTAAATAAAGGACACAATCGCGATAGATCGGGATTTATTCTTTAAAGAAAAATAGAAACGAATTTCTATGAAATTGATCTCAGGTTAACATGTTTTTCTTAGCCAATATTTAATATCTTGAACAAGTATACTGCAGTATTGTGATTTTATGAGAAAACTTATAGGTATATGTGCTTATCTACCGATAGTTTTGAAACACTCGACAAAATGGCGTCTTTACTCTTACGTCGAACAAAATGGCATGTTTGACGGTCATTTTACGAGGACTTTATGGATACCTTAATGACTGCGGCACACATATACACATATATACTTATATATACTTATATACTATATGTGTATATGTACATATAGGTATAAAATAGAATTCATTTCACGTACGAACACGTAAGCGTATTAGAAGTACTCTTTTGCACCGACTAGTAAAGTAATAAAATAAATTTTTCGTATAATGCGGCATGAAGAAATCCAAAGGAGAAATCAAAGATAATAGACGTCCACGAATATGGAAAACTCCTTTAAGTATTAATTAGTAATTAAGTTTATTTTAATGGTCACTATACATTATCATAATATTTCATATTAATTATACGCGTTTTAAACTTCTTCTTCCATAAACGTGATTTCTCAGATACTATATATCACCGGAGACAATTACATCATAAATGATCCGATGACTTCGTTATACGATTATGATCTTCGCTTATAGAATATCTGCATGTGTATTGAAGATGTGGACACAGAAGAATACTCATCAATATCGTATTCATAGTAAAAGAGGCAAGTTCATCGGAGCAACGATAAACTCGTGTCTCATGACTTAGCAGTTTTCGTCGAGGATTTATCGATTACCAATTATAGCTCATTTAATCGTAAAAGCTTGTCGTCATTTATTCCGATCGTGTGTGTGTCCCCTCCCCTTCTTTCCTGTGTCCCGATCCTGTTTTCAAAAACATATAGTTACATTTTATGAATAGAAAGATGTGTCTTGGAAAGAATTACTATAACAGTATTGGAAAATGACATGGTAACGAACACGATGACATCTACTATCTCTTCTCTTTATGATTAGGCCGTTGCGGTGATGATTCTGATACTGAAAGTGAACCAGGTATACCTCTTAAACGAAAACAACGAAGGAGCAGGACGACGTTTAGTGGGGAACAACTAGAACAACTCGAGACTGCCTTTCAACGTGCTCAATATCCAGATGTTTATGCTAGAGAAGAATTAGCTCAGAGAACGGGTCTAACTGAAGCAAGGATACAAGTGAGTTGTTTATTATTTCGTCGAGATCATATTTGAAAAATATCTCGAAGCAAAGAAAGTTCATATAACCGATTGATAATAAGAAAAATCAGCATTGAAGATTATTTATACCTATCGTCATACATCACAATCTTCTAGGTATGGTTCAGTAATCGGAGAGCCCGTTTACGTAAACATTCAGGAAGTTTAGCACATTCTGTACCGAGTTTACCTTTGACACCCTGTCAATACGCTGCAGGGAGTCATGAATTAGCTCAGATGACTCAAATACCTCAAATGCCAAGCGAAATACCTCAAGTACCAACTAGTTTGCATCACAGTCCGACGGGTTTGCATCAAACACCAAGCAACGTTCATCAAGTTGCCGGAAGTGTTTCCCAGATGACTCCGTCGATGCCACCAATACCTTCGATGCCACCAATACCTTCAACGATGAGTAACAGTTTGCAAGAACATGCTGCATCAATTTCGGGACACTTGACTTCTCTTTCTGAACATATCAGTAGCATGCAAATCGGTCAGGTTCCATCCATTCAACCTCCAGTTGCTCATGGTGCTCCAACATCTTTGACTCCTAATACTGGTACCTTGACAGATATTTTATCAAATCCAAATTACTAAAAGAAAAGAAAGAAAATACACAAAATATTACATTATTAATATTTCTATATATATTTTTATTTTATTTTTTGTAGGGAACACCGATTGGTCCAGGTCACAGCTAACTTGGGGCCAGTTCAATCATTTTCAAGGTAGCGAATATTCGTCGAGTCACATGACAAGCCATCAACATGCCGTCCACGCAGCTCATGGTGCCCACTCTTCGAATACCGCGAATACCGCTAGCACAACGGCCGAATGGTACGACCAGAGTTACGATTATACCCAACACGCCCAACTCAACTATCATCGGAGCGTGGGTGGAATATACTAGCCGAGGATGCTTCCCGATCCGATGGATAATCCGAACACGTCGATCGAATTTACTTTGTACATAATACATTTACGCTTTATCATCAAAACCAAATGATAATTTGATCACCTTATTCTACCTTGTTAAATCTTATCTATGAAATTTAAGCTACGTTACGAAATCGTAACGATTAATGAAATTAACTATTCTCAAGTTGTTTATCGATGTCACGAATAATTACGTGATCTCTGCTGTTGTTGTATGCACATGGATTCGAACGATTATCAACACCGTCAAGAAAAGTTATAATGTTCTCTCGTTTACATACGCCATTTTTTATTCTATCGAAAACAATCTATCTAAACAATGTCTGGTTAACGAATCAAATGAGTTCAAGAACGAAGGATTGTTCTCGTGATCTTTCGATGATCAATTAATCTTATACGATTTCATAATTTTAATTATTCATTTAAACGAGAATATATAAGAGATAAGGTGAAAATTCTAGGAAAGCATATATCAGGGCAATAAATTGATTGCCTATTTACCGTCAAATAGAAAGATCTTCTTCAAACGTATCGCGTCACATGTTTACATAACATATCGGATGAGCGCTGTTAAAGAAAAAATTAGAATTCATATAAGAAGCTACGCGGGAACAAAATTGTCTCATATTACTGCAGACACAATGTACGCGCTTAGATTGTCAATCCTGTGGGTAAGTATAAAAATATATCTACGTAGAAAAATTACATCGTCATTATTAACTCCTGATAAATACTTTCATTCGAACTATATTCAATTTCTAATAAACTTATCGAGAACAATAAACTAACAATATGTGTTGAAAAATTTTCCAATTATTTCAGATATTCATCGTGGGAAGCATCGTGCAATGTTCGGCTTCAAGTATTTACAATTTCGGTAGAGCGAACGTAATCGTCGGAGGTGATCCCTCGAATCCTTGTTCTGCAACAAGAGAGTGTTTTAATTGCACTCATTCGAAACTGTGTTTGCCAGTCAAAAACAAATTCCAACAGGTAGCTGTGATAGATTGCAGTTCTGACCCTTCAAGACCCTATTGCGATAGCGATACCGGTCTTTGTACAAGCGTAGCACCGAACGGTTGCTCTTCGAGCGAATTCATCTGCCCTTTAATCGATGGCGTGTACCCAGATCCCAGAAGTTGCACCAGATATCACATTTGCGTGAACGGTTATAGAACGACGAATATTTGTCCGCCTAACAATGTCTACGACGCATCCATAAAAGATTGCAAATTAATACGTTATTCAATCGACTGCGTTACAATCAGTTGCACGGGTAAGGAGGGCAAATTTTTCACCTATCCAAAAGACGATCGAATCTATGGAGCTTGCGTTGATGGTAAATCATATATCATTGGACGATGCGAAGATTACGAGAAATTTGATGTTAATTCGGGACAATGTAACAGAGTTTGCAGAGGACCAGAAAATCAGCCTACAGAAGATTGTCAAAAGTATATACGTTGTGCCGAAACAAGCAAAGGAAGATATGAGCCAGTTTTGCAAAACTGTGCCTGCAACCAAGGTTTCGATAAAGTTACAAAAACCTGCTCAACTAAAGCAGAATGTATAGCTGGTAAACCAGATCCTTGCAAACCAGAAACTACAGAAAATGGAAAAAATAAAAATCCCGACAATGGGGCAGCTGATTTGATCGTAAACAATTCAGAAAATCAGAACAGCAGTAGCAATGTATCTAATGGTAATGACGATTCCAATGGAAATGTTGTGAATGGCAATGATAACGGAAATAATTCCAATTCTGGTAACGTTGCCAACACAGGAGAAGAAACAAAACCAGAAGTAAATCCACTTATTATCATAAATTCAGGGCATAGTCAAAATTCGAATAATGTTTCTAACGGAGACAATAGTGAAAATGGAAATATAATTGATGGAAGTAACAATGATAATCATGCAAGTCAAGG